CCCCTGTCCCCACGCAGATGGTGACGTCCCCGAGGCCGTGGCGCGTGCTGGTGGCCGTGGCCCTCTGCGCCCTGCTCTGCCTGGGCACGCTGGCGGCCGCCTACCCCCCAAAACCCGAGAGCCCCGGGGACGAGGCCTCCCCCGAGGAGATGGCGCGGTACTTCTCGGCCCTGCGCCACTACATCAACCTGGTGACGCGGCAGAGGTGAGCGGGGGGCACATGCGCTCCGTTGCATGCCCCTTTGCACACGCATGGGCTCCATTGCATGCCTCTTTGCACGCCCATGTGCTCCATTGCATGCCCCTTTGCACGCCCATGGGCTCCATTGCATGCCTCTTTGCACGCCCGCATGCTCCATTACATGCACCCTTTGCACACCCACGTGCTCCGTTGCATGCTTCCTTTGCACGCCCATGTGCTCCATTGCATGCACCCTTTGCACACCCGTGTGCTTCATTGCATGCCCCTTCGCACACCCATGTGCGCCATTGCGTGCCCCCTTTGCAAGCCCGTGTGCTCCATTGTGTGCTCCCTTTGCACCCCCATGGGGGCTCCATTGCATGCACCCTTTGAACGCCCATGTGCTCCATTGCATGCCCCTTTGCACGCCCATGTGCGCCATCGCATGCACCCAGCAGTCCCCGTTTGCACACTTGTGCATGCCCCTTTGCACACCCATGTGCTCCATTGCATGTTCCTGTGCACACCTGTGTGCTCTGTCGCGTGCACCCAGCAGCTCCTGTCTGCACGCTTGTGCATGTCCTTTTGCACGCCCATGTGCTCCGTCATGTGCGCCCTTTGCACGCCCATGTGGTCCATCGCATGCACTCAGCAGTTCCCGTTTGCATCCTCATGCACACCCCTTTGCACACCCATGTGCTCTATCACATGCACCCTTTGCACACCCGCGTGCTCCATCTCATGCCCCCCAGCAGTTCCCATCTGCGCACTCCCGCACGCCCCTTTGCACGCCCCCCCTTTTGCACGCCCCGCCATGCACGCCAGGCCCTG